TGTTGGATGGTTGGATGGATTGCCAACTCCTCCTGCCTCAACGCCATCTTCGCACCCTCAGACACACCTCGTCTGCTCACACGGGTGGCACGAGTGGGTGGATGCCACAAACGCAACCGCGGTGGCCGCACTCACGCACACCTGCTGTGTCAACGAGTGGAGTGAGCAGTGAGGAGTGGTGTTCGTGTGCAAACAAGCCTCCACCAAAGCCGTGTAGCATGACTAACCGAGGTGGTTGGTTGAGTGGTTGGTGGTGGAGATTGGTGGGGTAGTGCATGTGTGGATGTGTGGTTGGGTGGTAGGATGAGTGGAAGTGAGCTGTCTCAGTTTCCATTCACTCTCACTATTCACCTCCTTCTCCTGCCCGAAGCAATCTACATACATTTGCACACACAAATACGCAGTCATTAATTAACACACAGGAAAATAGGTCGAGAGCAATCTGTGCCATCAAATTAGCTCACACATTTGTGGCTTTGTGGGCGGAAGACAGGTAGAGATGCTTGCATTCAAGCCCTCGATTACGTGAGCAACCAAGTGCGCATTACCTTTCAATTCCCACAAGAGCAAACAGAGAGAATTCTGGCAATCGTCGATGAATAAAATAACAAAATTTGCACCATTTAAACATGGGCTTGCCTGGACTTCAATCGGTACGACAGCAAAAACTTGTACAAGGTGTGGAGAATGTCAGAAAAATTAAAACCGCAATTTACTTTCATTATTTCCACTTAATTATTGTCAGCCTAAAAATTAAGTCCTTCTTTTGGTCTATGGGCTAGGTCATACGCAATGCATTACCGCTGCACATCAGCGAATCCCACCCTGTCCGTATACCACGGCTTCCTTCGACTGCAAGGGTGACTTGGAGCTTTGCAAAAAGCACATCCGATCTTAACGAACACCCGGTTGTGATGAAAGACACATTATTGGTGGAGAATCTCAATTGAAGGGTTGACAATTGGGTCCACATTCAACAAATACCTGACACAACTGGCGTGTAGATATTTTGTGCTTACAGCACTGATTGTACTCTGGTGGCGGTTGAGAGAGCTTGGCAAAGAACAACACGGAAGCCGGTAATTTTGAAATAACAGAGAGGCTTTGGATTCGTTATTAAAACTCTTAACTCTTTGTATTTGATCTGCGGGAGATGAAGACAACGCAAATGTACTCTAAACTCTTCCACTTACTGAAAATACAAATTCTTCTTTACTAACCTTCCTTCCTCCTCCTTCTGGGAGGATTGAGGGGGCAACAATCACCACTCTGGACAAGCTACTGTTAGGGTTAGTTAAGGGAAAGGAATCGGCCCATCACGACACAGCAGTGGATGGTCTATAAGGCACAGCTGCCAATCAGGCCACTGAGACTTCGGCAACGCATTGACTGGTTTTTTTGACGTAGCTATTTATCCCAAACGAAAGTCATTCCGAAAATCCTTTTGCGGTTAAAGTGAAGGTTTTCCATGGAACAGATGTGTGTGTGTGTGTGTGTGTGAACATAGTTGTAATTCTATACACCGAGGCCAAATGTAGTGCCAAGCTAACTCTCACATTACAGTCAGATTGTACGGCCAAGTGTGCAGCATTTCCTTAAGCATTTTGACTTTTGATTATTTGGCCTGCTAGGGGGCCAAGTCATTAAAGCCATTTCCTTTTCCAGTCCATTTCACTCTCCTCTAAAGCAATTAGAGGGCTGTAAAGAGAGGTGATTAACTTCCAAACCCTAAATTCTGCACAATAAGAAAAAAACTGCAAGAAACATACGCAAGCGGCTGCAATTTGGGAGCACAAAGCGGCATAGTTGAAGATGAGAGAGCCTTTTTCGAAGGCCGGCGATCGTTGATCGTGCTGATAGCCGGTAAATGCATCAGACCTACGAAAAGTTCATGCTATGAGATGGCAAAAGACAGTGCTAAGCATTGTGGTAGAAAATGAGCCCAGCCAACTTCCCATCCGATACAATTTTAAGCTTCGGTCTGTGCAAACGCTGGTCCTTAAAAAGGAGGCTGTTTCTGAACGAGGACACAAATCAAATGAGTGATGAAGAAGAAGGCTCAAAGGAGCATGGAGATGATAGGCCTTGTGAACAAAATGATTTGAAAGGCGACAGCTTCACCGACCCGAGAGGATTCGGTGGTAGCGGTGAACCCAACAACGATGAAAAGTTCAGCCTCTTTGAATGTTCAAACTTGATACTCCAGCTAAATGCAATATTTGTCATGAACACCTCATTTCTAAGTGTCTCTTTAATGTGATGTGGAAGTTGGGGAGTGGATGGGTGTTTATTTAAATTAAGCCAAAAGATGTTGCCGAAAATGTGAATCACCCAACAGAGGTTGAGCCTAAAAGCCGGTTGGACTAGTTGCATGCATAATTAAATCCTCTTTCAGAGAGACCACCACATCCGAGTTGTTTGTAGTGTTGGAACAATAGACACACACCCACGTGCCAGTGCCAGATCGGTGACTCACTGACACGAGGCAAAGGATCCCGTTTGTGCTCGCAGATCGCTAAAACAACACTTTCTGACACATCTCAGGCTTCTTGGTGAGAGCAAAAAAGTGTTATAGTAGAGATCCTATAATCTTAGTTTACCTTTTAAAACGAAGAACAACAAGAACAGTTGAAAGTTTGTAAAATGTAGAGCCTATGAAGAGGATTTGACTCACCAAGAGAAGCGAAAAGTATGATGGACGGACTCATCGAAGAATCGTCGTTCGATTGTATTTAAGAGGTCATAGTAAGCCCGAAAATCTTTGAGACCACTTTTTGACCGCTCGGGTTTCATAATTTTCTAGTAAGGACAACACCAAAAGCCACGTTAGCTGTCACTAGTGCTTAGTAAATAATCCGACGTGATAGTCTCGTGTAGGTAAGAAAAGAGCCCTTTAAGTGGTACCGAGCGATGTAGGAGTGAGATTGAGGCCCTCCCTGAAATTCGTGATTTGTGACCCTTCAAACCATATTTCCGACAAGAGATTTATCGTCCGTGAACAAACTGATTAAACGATCCCACGAGGCTTCGATATTTACCGTTCATCGGACCAGCAAGACTTTGAGATGATAATCAGGCTTTAGAGTGAGAAACAAGTCAATAAAAGTGTCCTGTAGACCTTAAAATTGGGGGGGGGGCTAGACACTGTCTCTACTCCTTTGGAGGTCCCACCACTTCAAATGTCAACACTGATAGTCGACCCATGGAAGAACCATTCCTTGTAGGCGACTGAATCGGCTAAAGCCAATCCCAACGGGTCAAATAGAAAGCTGGAGGATAAGAGCGACTGAACCGAGTGTTCGCACGACTAATATCAGGGGGCTCACTTGATAATCCCTAGAATGTGACAAACGTCATAACTGTGAATGAGAATGAAACAGACAGCAAAAACAACACAGGATGGATAGAAGGACGCCCGTGAGGAGCATGTTTACCGATCGGGAGAGGGTGAGTTGATCCAGTGCATCGCTAAACTTCTCCGGATTCTCGTGATAATGCGAGACAATGAAAGGCGAGAGGTGTGTCTTGAAGTCAATGCTTTGGGTGGCCTTTAAGCCAATGGGTATCACTGGAAGGCGCGATCTAAAATTACAGACGACACATTTTTTTTTCGTTCCAATTCAGGTGAAGAGTCGAGTGCATCCAGTACACACAAACACATACCAACTTATAAACCCATGAACTTTTTGAGAAAAAAAAAGTGAGCTAAAAATTAAAACGCAAGTAAAAGTCAGCCGACTTTTAATGCTACAAATGAACATCCACTAAGTTGGTGCCGTGTTTTAGCCATTTGTAGTTTCAATTTTCAGTAAGACCGATAACAATGAAGCCTGATGACGGGTCAAATGCACAGGCAAGGAAAGCTAACAGCAGAAAGTAAGGTGCTTTTAGAGACACGCGCCTTCACTACACGGAGCAGGAAGAGTTGACACCACTAAAGCGCCTCAAAAGTGTTGACAGTCAACATCAATCGATGCGAGACTATCGATGTCAATTTGAAAGATCATCTCAGTTGATTTGTCTCACAAGAAAGCGTCACACTTTTGTGAAGTTAGCATGAAATCTATCATTGCGCGTCAAATTTTTGACAGTCGTGGCAATCCCACTGTTGAGGTCGATTTGACAACTAATAAGGGCTTCTTCCGTGCAGCTGTACCCAGTGGTGCCTCAACAGGCATTCATGAGGCGCTGGAATTGCGAGATGGCGATAAGTTTGCCTACCGTGGTCTGGGTGTTTCCAAGGCTGTGGATAACATCAATCGCATAATCGGTCCAGCTCTCTGTCAACGCAATTTCGCTATGGCAAATCAGGAGGAAATTGACATGTTTATGGTAAAAGAACTTGATGGTACAGAGAATAAGAGTAAGCTAGGAGCCAATGCAATCCTCGGCGTCTCTTTGGCTGTTGCCAAGGCTGGAGCTGCTGAGAAGAATGTGCCACTCTATAGACACTTTGCAGACCTTGCTGGAAATCGTGATATCATCCTTCCTGTGCCCTCATTCAACGTACTCAATGGAGGCAGTCATGCTGGAAACAAGCTGGCAGTTCAGGAGTTCATGATTATGCCAACAGGAGCAACTTCATTTAAAGAAGCCATGAAAATGGGTAGTGAAACCTACCATGCCCTAAGGGCAGTTATCAAGAATAAGTATGGACTGGACGCCTGTAATGTAGGCGATGAAGGCGGGTTTGCGCCTAGTATTCAGGACAATTTTGAAGCATTGGAACTTTTAAGGGAGGCTATTGAGTCGGCAGGATATACAGGGAGGATAAAGATTTGTATGGACGTAGCGGCATCTGAGTTTTACAAAGATGGCTTGTACGATCTAGACTTCAAGAACCCTGAATCTAAGAGGGAGGACTGGATCCATTCTGAGAAAATGATTGACATGTTGAATTCAATGGTTGACAAGTATCCCATTGTCAGTATTGAAGATCCCTTTGATCAGGACGATTGGAATGCATGGATCAACTACACAAGTGAAGCGGGTATTCAGGTGGTCGGAGACGACCTTACTGTCACCAATCCAGTTCGAGTGCAAAAGGCCATAGACACAAAAGCCTGCAATGGACTTCTACTAAAGGTGAACCAAATCGGCACCGTGACTGAAGCCATCAAAGCCTGCAACATGGCCAGACAAGCAGGATGGGGAGTTATGGTGTCGCACAGATCAGGTGAGACAGAAGATTGCACGATAGCGGACCTTGTTGTGGGCCTTAGAACGGGCCAAATAAAGACAGGGGCACCATGCCGTTCCGAACGCTTAGCAAAGTACAATCAACTGCTGAGAATTGAAGAAGAACTCGGCTTGGCAGCCAAATTTGCTGGAGAAAATTTCCGCCATCCTTAGACAGGACAATTTTTCAAGAAGTAGAATTTGTTAAATGGTTTTGATCTCTCTAGGCTGACTACCCCGCAGAGTATAAGAAAGAGAACAAAACAATTTATCGAATCCAATTTTTAATGAGACTTACAGTCTCTACACTGATTTTTTTCATCTTTAAAATAAAGAGAAGGATTTAGGAGAATCATCTTTGGTGTGATTTTAGTGCGGTGAAAAAAATCCCTCTTGACAGACGCACACAGCAGTTAATAAAGGCACTTGAACTATTCAACTCGTAGCATGCAATAAGCCGCGTATAAAATGTGCACGAATTAACTATTTTTTTTGGCAAGACGCAATCCCTCACAATTGTGGATAGAACGCATTTAAACACATTAATCCGCGTGACGAAAATGCAAGCAAAATTATGCTTAAGTGGTAGCACTGAAGATACAATACAGAATGAAATCATTCATTAATTAGATCTTAAAATATGGGAGCAAAGCAAAAACTGGAATCAGAATCATGTTTTACAAATTATAGGCACAAGTGAACTTTAGTGGGTAAAGTTCCCGAAGTTCCAACATAAAACTGGTTTTATAAAGTACTATTGCGATATAGGAGGTTGTTTAACCGTATGAGCTATTGATACACAACATCTGGAACAGAAAATAGGTTTCAAAAAGCAGGATACACAAGATTGCAACCTGTGACTGCATATCGAAAACGGTCGGTGAATAGTTAACTGAGGAGTTTTCGGAAGAAGTTATTTAAAAGAGAATATTTTCAACCGTAATGACTTTATTAACCCATTTTAAATAAGCTATTTGTAGGTACCATTGCAATGAAGCTCCTCAAATACTAAATTAGTTGTTTAAAATGACAAAAGCGATTTCGCTACTGTTCCATGAATTTAACTAAACACAACATGACCATAAACTCACTCCAGTTTCTGGTAGGTCGAAAATTCAGAATTTAATGAATCCATTTTATCCTTCAAAGTTCCTATCGTTGCAGATTCTACCTCTAGAACTCCCGCGATTTCGGTTTTATGCGCTTTGGTAAATACACTCCTGTCTTTATCAGCACTAAATTTTAAATAGATACTCATTCAAGGCAACAAACTGGAGCAGATTTTCTGCGCCCTCCTTTAAACGAACAGATCTTTTTATTTCCGGAATAATATCCGATTTCTTCTGGTCTAACTGTGTTCTTCTTGTGAGGTATCTTGGGTCCTTGGTAAAAAATTATAATAAAGGTGAGTAAACAATACTTGGTTCGCTTTGGCCGTTGGTAACTCATTTTCAGAGTCGGTGCGTGCCGAAATTTTACCCTCCGGCCATAATTGGGACATAGTTAGGCTCCCAAATGCGTGGACCGAAAGTCCTAACTTTGACAAATACCTTGAGAGCTGCGGTATTTATGCGACCTAGTCGCGCAACAATTCAAACAAATGACCAATCCCATATTACTGGTGGTTTAAACTTGAACTTCCTAGTAAATGGAAACTTTGAAATTTTGTATTGACTGTCAAGACAAATTTACGATAAATTATTGCACTTGAATTTTTTTATGTGGCAAAGGTAGTTTGGTTCGCTGCCTTGTATTTATTTCCAGAAGGAATGTTTTCGCATTTTGCGATCCCAATTTTTGATGAGCAGTGAAATGTATGGCTAAATAATACGTGATTAGGAGACCATCATATACTCAAATCAAGCCCAAGCTTTTCAGAAAATTTACAACAACCACTCTGGGCCAATGCATGAATTTTACATTGCTAAAAGACATAACAACCCTTCAGCCAACTTTTTTATATGACTCCTTTTATTAACTAGTGCCTTCAGTCTCCATTCACTTTTATGTTTGCCAGAGCTGTTGGTTGAAGCCTGCTCACAGTGAGTAGGCAATTTCATAAAACTGCAGTCATGACCATAGCGCTGGTTAAACATGACTTTTCATTTCCACTTATCTTAGTTGACATTTGCTGCCTTAAAACAGTTAGCCATAGCAGACTAGTACCAGACAAATAGCGCATCCTGAGGGGTTCATAGATGCTATATCATTTGAGCCGTTAATTGCACGATCCTATCCAAAAATGTAATATGCGTTAAAAATATGGCTGCCATATGTGTGACAATGATGAGGTGTTGGTCGTTGTTGACGAGATTCAATATTCTAGAAGATCTTCTGACTGTTTCCGTAAAAAATGGGAAGGTTTATTAATGCTTAATGTAAATGTTCCTTCTACGTGGAGTTTTCAGTTGTTGTTGTGCTCCTAGACCCCTTCGGAGGCGAGTGCATCGAAATGTGTAGGTGAGCAATGCGTATTTAACACAAAATAGTTCTTGAAGCTACTTCAGTAAATTTTTGATCGGATCTTCCCATGCAACATGTCAGCAGAATATGAAGTTAATCAAATTCTCTGTTTTGGCACAAACTCTTAAGCCAAAGTACAGACTTCCATTACTTATTTTTATAGGCAATACTTAATTTTAAACTTGAATTGAGATGAGTTTGATCATGCCTTCAAATTTATTGTGCCCAAGGGATTGCCAAGGGAAAGAATATTTTGAGATGGCGTTTAGCACGTTTCAGATTACCACAATAATAAAAAGCATATGTAGCGTCCCGAGGCTTCCAATGGGGTAGTAGAAGGCATAAGTAGGGTTGAATACATGTATTCCGAAAGCAATAGGAGAAATGGGCCTGAGCGTAACCCGAAGGCCAGCCCACGTGCACAGGGCCCAGACAAGTCCTAAAGTGCTCGCCAAACGTCAGATAGTCGCATAAACAAAGCATTACAGCATAAATAAGTAAATGATAAATCTTGCCCCTCCTTTAGGGCAAAATAAAAGGCCTAACTTTAAGTTTGGAGGAAGGAGAGTGAACCACTGATGAGGGGTTGATTGGCGTTGAACCTTACAGTCGTTTCGTACTTTCTAAGGAAACCTTATTTGTGAGGCATTTTTTGCGGTTCCCCCATCCTCCCATCCAATTAACGTTAAGCGTTAAAAGGAAAAATAAGCGAAGGCTGTAAAAAATCCTTTTCACTCTTACGACGCATCTTGTGTTGACCTCTTGCAAGGTGGTTTACGCAATTTTTTTAATGCCTTCTCCATTCGTCCACCCTCGTCTTTAAGGTAAGCGAGTGCGACGAGCCCCATTAAGGCTTTGGGATTTCGAACATAGGCTTATTACGAAGGTAAGCAGCAATAGAAAAGTGGCACATTTGGTTATCTTTGATAAGTTGTGACAGCATGAGCATGGGGAGGTGGAGAGAAGAACTGGCACCCACTTTTGATCGCCTAAAAATCTAAATTTTGCCTTCAAAGGCTCTCATAGTTTGAGGATTGCTTCCAAACCAACCGGACTTCTCCACTACACAGGAGATTCTCAGTTCACAAAATGCTTCCACAAAGTCTCAGAACTTCTCATTTGGTAATGGGGAGGCAGAATGCATGGTTGTTTAAGTAGATTTGGAGGGTGGGGAAGATGCCAAGGCTTTGAATCGTCCGAAGACAATCCCATTCAAAAAAAGCAAGAGGAACACCAAAGGGGCCTCCATTCACACAGACAGCTGCTTCCTTCATTCGTGAAATTTGTACCAAAAGCCACAAAAACAGTCTTGAGGATGCGGATATTGTTGCGGTGCCTCCACAGTGCTCCTCACTGACCTAGGGACGCGACAAATTCACAACTGTCGCCTCGTATATTTGTCTGAATTAGTTCATAGAAGTAAAATTTATAAAAGCTGCTAAATGGTGTCTCGATTAACACTCTACAATTGATCTTATCGCTTTCGACCCTAACTTCACTACCAGTTTTGTCTAGTAGAGGTCACACACTTTGGGGGAGGTCACTGGACTTAATGGCATTGATAACAGCATTGAGGGCCAGACTGATGAAGCGATTCGAGGCGCCTTGACGAATAGCGGTGGGAGGCAAGAGAAGGTGATCCACCTCCAAAGCTGGCAGTGATGTCATCCAAGTGCTACTACTACCATTACAGGGCAGCATAAATAAGTAAAGTCTGCGCCAGGGTGGCGTATGAAAGCCTCATCCTTTCAACTACGGTTGCCCTTCAAGTAAGGTCGTGGACTGAGACATTTCAATAAGACAAGGATGAGTTACGGTGGCTTGGCTTGGGAAGATGTTTTCGTGAGGAAGTACGCAGGAAATACTATTGACTACTGACCTCAGGTCAAAGCGTTTTTTTGGCATAAAGAATGTTGCACATCTTCACCACCTTCAGAGAACAACGGCGAGGATAATTTCTCATCAGATTGAGTGTTGCGCTGCCTCTAACATTGAGGACACCAAAAGAAGGGTGAGAAGTCGCCTATCAGTTAATGTGTCCACAGAAATCGTCACAGTCACAAAGCAGAACGTCGATGTGCACTGTTCTAGTAAGACTCGCACGTACTCACCTCTTTTTCTTCGTACAAAAAAGAGAAGCCCTGAGCCAATGCCTTCGCATTGGCCGGATTGTACTCCGCCAAGCCCTTCCAATGCAAATCGCCTTTACTACAACATAAAATGCAACTTTTTATGCTAACAGAAATAACTTTGCCTGATTCATTCACCAAACCTTAAAAAAAAGGCAGATTGTAAATTTTATTTCAGCACGATGATTAAGTGCACCGACAAATGCGAATTCAAACAGGAGCCGAAGAGATAAGCATCAGGCTTTATGGACAAAAGCAATTCCACGACGTCAGTGTAGGACATTAAAAAAAGAGGTTTTTTGTCCTGCGTAACGCATTTCATCGCATTATCTCGTGAGGCGAGGCGTTTGGGCTTCCACTCCACGGTTTTCACTACCTTTGTCTTCAACCCAAGGACCGCTGTGGATTGTTTGTGAAAAAAAAGGCCTGTGGAAGTTCTTGTGGTTTGCCGTAAGGGATGAGACTGCATAACAGTGGGTTGACGTGTGATTGCATTTTGAGTTTTCCATAAAATATAAAAGGAAGTTATTTTTTGAAGTGACAAAACCATTGTAAGGAAATCGAAATGTGTCACCGAACGGA